GTACCAGTTCCTGCATATACATGACCTCCACATCAATAAGTAACATTAAACACTAAATAAGTAAGTAACATTAAGCATAACCTTTTGCTGATCTGACATGAAGCACCACCTATTATCAGAACCAATATCTTCCAGAAGTAACTTAACAAACCAACTCTAAGAGTCCCTAGTTTCATTCTCCACCACCCCAAAGGCAAGTGGAAGATATTGGTCATTGGCATCCCTACTGACAACTATCAATAAGATTCCACGATATTTGTTTTTTAGGTGACATCCATCTAACCCTGTGAATGGTCTACATCCAACCTTCAATGATTTCTTTGTACCATCAAAGCACATGTAGCACCTTTCAAATCTAGGTGGCAAACCAGAAATGTTCAACTTAAATATGTTTCCTTTGGATGCCTTCCTCAATTCATCTCCATATGACCATAGCATGATGTATTGCTTGGCTGAGTCCCCTTCAATAATATTTCTGGCTAGCTGCCTTGCTTTGAAAGCCCTACATCCAGTAATTTCTATAGCAAACCTCAATCTTACATCTGCTACAACTTCATTCAATTTCATACCTGAATTATTCTTTAACTTGTCAACAATCACTCTAGATACCCAATCAGCATTAACATTCTTGCTGAAGAACTTTCTTCCACATTTGTGCTTCTGAAATAGATTTTTGATCCTGAATGATGCAATTCTCAAAACCATGCGGCATAAAACCGTGTAATCACATTGTCGTTTGTCCTTACAAACAACTCTACACCTTGTTCTATCATTTTTGGCAAACCTGACCTCCCTACCATTCAACATATTGTGTTCCAGTACAACCTTTCTAAATTGCTTCAGAGAAGAAAATTCCATTCCCACCTTGAATTTAAATTCTTTTCTAAGGTTTTCATGTTCATTAAACCTTATCACTAGAGGCCTACCATTATCACTATCATCATCTGCCCCACTATCAAGTTCATATGTGATGTAATCATCCTCAATTACATTTTCCCTTTGCATCTCAGTTGTAGTCAACCCTTTAAGTATCCCTTGACCATTATCCATTTGACATGTACCATCACCATTACCCACTCCACATGTACCAACATCTTCACCCATGTCTTCATCAAAATCGTACATCCTCTCTTCTTCACTATCTTCAAAGTGTATACCACTCAATGAGTCTTCAGATGATTCAATTTCCTCGTCATCTTCATTTTACTCAACATTAACATGGCCTTTTTCTTTCTCTTTTAACCTCTCCATATAAGTCTTCTCACCACTAGATAATCTCGCCTCTGTATATATCTCAACATCACACTTACTCTCCTCGGCACACTTAGATAATATTGTTGCATCCTCATCATTAACAAGGGGTTTTAGATCATTTTCAAGTGAGTCATGTTCAGACTTCCACCATATTTTCACATCTTCAGTTTTAAATGATGAATCCATACTCTTAATCAAGTCACAGACTTCAAAGAATGACCATAAATCAGGATCTTGCCCATATATTGCGTAAACATCACCCCCTTCGTATTTTAACCCTTCATCCTTTACGAATGACCATTTGGTATAAAAGACAACCTTAAATGACCCCATTGCCTACACATTTCAAGAAAAAAGGAGGGGTAACTCAGACATTACCAGTAGATAAATTAAGGACGAAAAAACCTAGAATTTGGGACCAGGCCGTAGGGCATGCAAGTAATGCTCGGAATGAATAAACTATAACAAGTGGAACTTACCTAATCGTTGTTGGAACCCCAGTAGCGCAACAACCAACTGAAGTTTCTTCAACGTTTGGGACCACAAGAGGAAAATTCGTCAATGCTTTGTTATGCTGTTGAAGGATAAGTTATGTAATGAATTCAACTTGGGAGAAGTTATGTAATGAGATATGCCACTTGGGAGAAGTTATGTAATGAATTCCACATCAGAAAATAAAATAAATTATTTAATCCACCTGTCTTGCCACATAGGAAGCCGTTAGTGGAACTTGACGTTGGGGACCAATTGTCCAGACGAAAATTTTTAAAGGGACCAATCTTTGAAGGAAAATATTTGAGGGACTAAAAACGAAATTTGAGATATTTACACGGACCTAAAACTTATTTAACCCTAATAACAATGATAATAATTTTAGTATTATAATATAATAATTTGTAGAAGTTTTGAAATTAGAAATACGCATTTAGATAATTAATTAATCGGAAATAATCGTAATATCTGAGTAATTACGCGGTTTATTTGTAGTGAATTTTGGTTGACTCGTTGTATTGTGTTCTTTGTTGAAAATGTAAATTAGAAGATGATGTTATTGCCTCTATTTATGGGCAAAATATTAAGTTGTGAGATGATGGCCAATATTGGTTTGTTGTTGCGTTGCTATGGAATTTTATTGTTGCTATCCTGACATTCATATTAAGGCACATACATAACATATCAAGTTGGAGCTGATGCTCGGTAAGTTGGCCTGAATTGACAAATTAAGTTTAAGGCTTATGCCTTGTTGATGTCTCTATTAATTGACAAATTTCTAAGTTGGGAGTTTTTCTCCATTGGTACCACATGCATGTGCATTGTAACGAGTCGCATTCCGTGTTGCATATTTAACGTGTTGTGTTGTTGACTTGTGATGATTGATGTTGGTTGAAAGTTGTGAAGTGGTGATTTTATATAATTTGATCTAATAAATTGTTTATCATACACTCAATTATATGGTTCGATATCTCACCCCTTCTGTTTGAATATTACCCTCTGTTGGTAACGTGCATGTAATCAAGAAGGATATATGTTACATTCGTTAGTTCGAGTTGGTGTTGTCGCTCTGATACATAGCAGTCGGTGGGATGAACGCATGTTTTCTTTATTGTTGGTTTTCATTATGTTGCTGAATTTTTAAGTTGTTTTCATTAGAGACTTATTGTCTTAAAGCCGTTTTGAGTTGGACAAGATGTTATGGTGTTTTTAGTTGAATTTGTGAATCCGCTGCGTAGCAACAGAAGTTGTTTTATTTTTAAAGACAAAACAGGTTATTATCGGTTCATCCAAATTTTATGTGTTATGTATTTGAACTATAGGTGATTGAATATCATTTTTTCTAAGTTGAAAGTGTAGCATTCGATTTGTTTGTTGGAAATTTTGTGGCTCTGATTTTACATAATTCGCTGGGTAGAAATGGGGTGTTACACGACGTGCCTCTGCTTATTTGACCCTTGGTGGAACCGGTTGTTGGGATGCTCTCTAGTCTAACCAGCAACATGAAGAGAAGCATCGGGTGGATGAAAATCTTTGTAGCCTGACGCTCCAACAAGATATGTACCTGCAAGAGATCTAGACAACTTCCACTCCTCTTACTGGAAAAAGCGATGATTTTCACCCCTTTAATTTATGTGGCTCTCTTACCGGCCATGTGACTTTTTTGGTGAGGCGTATAGCAAGGAAAGACTAATCTCTAGCTTCTGCCCAGGCTACTTTGAAGTCTACTCAGACGTCTATCTCATCGGCCCAAAGAGATATGAAGTCACTTAATCTTAATAATGCTTTTTTGGCTCAATGTTTAATTGACTATACGACTTCTAGCCTTGGGATCGCTTCGCGGTCTTTGTCTGACCCTTTGTCTGTTGGTCATTGTGGGTCCATATCATCACCCACGTTTACTGGACGTGGGATGCGCTCTCGACAGCCTCGCTCAGGAGACCATATGGCTTCTTTGGGCAGCCCCTGCCTTTGTAGGGTAGCTCGACCCTTGCCATGGCATCTAACCTTCGGGCGAGCGGGGGCTTTGTCAATGACTCACCCCTCGACCCTCTATTGGATTTCCTCGCTTGTGCTTAAGTTGTCCCCTCTTAGGCCCTAGTAAAAATATAACACTACACATTCAAAGTCTTCATTTAGAATTGTGGAAAACTATAACCCACAATTCATTTATCTCTACTCACTTACGTGTGGTGTTTACATTGTATTTTTATCTTGTTTTCTTTTTGTTTTGTCGTGTGATTTCCTATTTTGTTTCCATTTTATGTGCTTTGATGTGTTGTTTATGCTTTTAGATTATAAGGAGTGTTTAGGACCAAATTGAAGTAACAAGGATCAATAATCACGCATCAAGTCCTTTAGTACAAAATTCTGACAAGCAACACAATTGGGTCGTGCTCACCTTCCCCTAACGTTTTCTTCTGCGTTGTTCCAAAATGATGCTTTAATGTTCTTTTGTGTCTATAATACGAATTTATTGCCTTAAAATGTAATAATTTGATATAAGTAGGCCTAGGATTATAAGAAACATGGGACATTATCTTGCTTTAGTTTTATGCTTAAGCTTTACTAGTGTACTTCTTTGAATTTAATTTTTTGTCAAAGAGATGTACTAAAGTCTCCATTGAAACCTGTTTTTATTCAAATTCTTTTATTTCTATTCCAGATTTATCTACTTTGCTTTGTTATTTCTATTTCTTATGATCATGTATGACATGTCTCTTTCTGTTTTACTATGCAACATGAGTGAATAATGCATTAGGAACTAAGGATCGCGAGACTTGTCTCAAGACATATCCTATTTGTATTCGTCGTGTTCAATTATGAAAAACTTGATTCACTTGTTATTTTATAATCTGAGTTCTTAAAATACATATCATTTCGAAAATAGGGATAACTCAAGTAACAATCTACACTCAAATGGTGCATTTTGTTACTTGACCACGAATTTCTAAACAACTCGGTACAAGACAAAGAAAGTGTTTGAACTCAATTGAGAAAGTCCCATTTTCATAGTTGTGCAACAATTGCTCTTAGGTACAGGCCCTTGTTTGCTTCCACTACTGTATTCTTTCTTGCACTATTAGCCTTTGGAGATGTTTCCAAATTCTCATCTGAAAATCTTGATGAAAAAGCCGGTGAAGGGCTCTTGGATTTTTATGTACGTAGCGAAAACAAAGTATAAATGATGAAAATGTAACGTAAAATTTGCTATGCCTATCATAAGAAAGTTATAGTTATAATGTTGAGATGGTTCAGACTTGAGAGTTTCTGAAATCAGCTTCAGTCAGAGTTCCTGATTGATCATAATCTAGTTTTCTAAAAATCTCCATCACGGCTATAACATCTTCTTGGTTGATCTTTCCCATTTCCTTCAACTTGTACAAAACAAACTCTGCAGCACTGAAAACAAAATATTGATCAATATCAGCATCTAATGTCCAAATAGTTTCTGAAACTGTAACTTATCGTCGTACCTGACAGCTTTGTCTCCGTCAAGATCAGCTGCCTCAAGATCACGGGGCGAAAACTTTCGCGTGAGAACCATTTTCGCCAATGATCTTTGTCTATCTTCCGTATAAAAATCAGTAAGATATGCAAAACACTGAGCCAAGCAAATGGTGCTGCTTAATATCCAAAACACAGCAAAAGTCCTACCAATAGGAGTTGAGAAGCTCTTATCTCCGTAACCTAAAGTCGTAACCGTCGAACAAACACAATAGAATGCATCGACGAAATCTAGTTTCTCAACAAAATACAGAAAAACAGTTCCTGTAATCATGAGTACAACAAAAGTGGATATTGAAAGCAGAAACTTGTATTTGCTTTTCTTAGTCACAAGTTCTTTAGAAACCTCTTCTAGACCGAGTTTCTCGGCTTTGCATATTGCTTTAACAAGATACACTTCCTGTTTTTCAACAATGTAATCTGCTGCTTTGCTAAGAATCAAGCCACCAAGAGCCATACCAGTGAAGACATAAAGGCAAGCAAGTAGTTTCGCTATAGTACTATTAGGAACGAGATCGCCATATCCAACGGTTGTCATCGTGACGACACAGAAATAAAGAGCATCAAGAAAACCATATGTTTTTATGCCTTGAATTTGGTAACTTGCCAGAAAGAAACATAAGGTGCCTGTACCTAAGTATGCTGCTAAATAGAACAATACTGGCTTGAAGTTGAGTTCTGCTTCTTGTGTTTCATATATTGATTGAGGGTGTAAAGGGGTTTGGAGGTCACCATTCTGTTCAATCTCTGTGTCTGAAGTGCCACCACGCCGCGTTCGTCTTCTCTGAAGAAGGTCACTTTTCTCATTGACATGAGAATGGTCCCTTGTCTCTGAAAGCAATAACCGTTGAGTCTCATCACTTCCCATCAACTTACAAATGCTTCATTCGTTACCTGAAAAATTGAAGTTGTAAGGTATTCACGCCTTGTTTAGATAAACATCTTAATTAAACGCTTATACTACATAATGATTTATCAACTCTCAGGGTTGACCTAGTGGTAAAGGTTTGAGTTTTGAGAGTGTACTCCTCTCTAAGTCTCAGATTCGACTCACCCTAGATGCAAGTAATTCCTGTCTTGGGCCAAGTCCATGCTCGCTTTATATGGGCATGCAAGTGGACTGTGAGATTGATCCTCTTAGATTAGTCGATCGCAAGACTGGATACCGTGATTTCAAAAAATGCACAAGAGATTGTATGAGAATATCACTATTATAGAGTCCGGAGGAGCGTCGGAAGCAATAATGAGCCAATGTTTCCGAACCACAAGATATATGACACGACATATCTATTTAAAACCTCAACAATGAACCAATATTTCTGAACAACAAGATATGCGATGCTACGTATCTATCTAAAAACCTTAGAGTATCTTATATAATAGTCGACTATCTTATATATCTAACATTTTACCAATTCATAATCGATTTGAGATTTAACCTTTCAAACTAAAACCTAACAATCATAATCTGTTTGCATAAATGCTTTCAAACAGTCACACAAATGCGCAAATGAACTAAAATAAACCAATTTAAGCAAACACTTTGTTTTTTAATACTTGTGAAACTTGAAATTCTTGATGAAAATAGTAGTAAAAATCAAAGAACTAACAAGTAGTAGAATTTCTTTGAATGAGAATAAAATTGAATCTTTCAAAATTCTTAGGTGTATGCATGCATGGTCATTCATATTTTCAGTTATCCAATGACCTCATCTAATCAATGATTTGTTATGTATCAGATTTATCAATTACAATTACAATTACAATTCAATGTATAAACTACTGTATTTACATAGACTAATTAGAAAGAAAAAAGAAATACTTAAAGGCTATAAAATCAATAATACATTCCTAAACCGACGTAATTGTTGTTAAGATTGAATATAATTATCGCAATTTGAGAATTATTGAAATTTGAAAAGATACAGAAAGAAATAATGCAAGAAAACAATAGGTATAATACCTGAGAAGATTGGTTGTGTAAAGAAATTGATTATCAAATTTGGAAATGAAGAACAATATTATCATCAACAGAGGCAACAACGTCTCCTATACTTCCAAATGGATGTTTCATACTATTGTATATTAATTTATTAATAAATTTCACTATTTTTGTATATGTATTTTCTAATTTTATTTTGATTTAATTTGTTATAATTCTCCACTCTAAATGTCATCAAATTCATTTCAACCTTATCTTGAAGATTTTTATAAAAAAAAATTTTTAAACAAATTTTTTTTTCCTAAAATATGAATTGAATTGGTGGAGAGAAATGGCCAAAGAATTTCTTTTTTTTTTAAATAAAAAAATAATGCTTGAGAAAATTGGAAGGGAGGTGGTTGATATTTAATGAAGAAATTATAACATCACGTGGTAGTGAAATAATCAGAATAAGGACATTGTGAAAATGAGGACACATTGATTAGCTCAGTTTTGTCCCCTAGCATTGATTTAAAACACAACTATTGATTGTGGTAGTATCAGACATGTGAAAATATATTATACTATAGTACAAGTACTACTATTTTTGTAACCAAGTGTTACATGTGAAAAGAAGTTATAGAGCTCTCAAAATGGATAATCTGATTTTAAATGGATCTATTTATACGATATTCGTGTTTTTCAGGGTTGGATTTAAAAAATTCATATTTAAATGAGTTTTATTTTTATTATTCAGATCCAATTTTTTTTTGGACTGCAGGCTATTCCATTCTAAATAGACTCAATTTTGAACGCTCCATTTTAAAAAGAAACAAAATTTTCTGTTTACAAATTTTTTTTTTTTGTAAGTAATCATAAATTGCATGTAATAATACTTATATAAAACAACACATTAATTCAATTCAAACTATCCAAAATATATCATAAATTATATTTATGACTTATTCTAACGAGTTTTAAGTTATAAATATTCATGACAATTATAATTTATAACAATTATAACAACAAACTGTTATAAAATTTTATAACAATTATAATTACATTGATGAGATATAATTTTATAACAAATTGTTATATATCTAATTTGTACTAACTCTATCATCCCATAAAAATTATATTAGAGTTTTTTAAAACCTCATTTCAACCTTATTTTTAATTAGAATACATTATGATGTCTTTTCTATACTATCTATATAATTATATTAGGATGAAACGTTATACTTTGAAATTAAGTCGAACCAGCAAGTTTTGTTTGATATTTATACATTTATAATCACTAGTGCAGGAAATACATTTTACATCGGATGAAAAGTACTTTTTACATCGGTTCTTGGTCCAATGTAAATCCAAGCGATGTAGTAAATCAAAGACATTTTACATCGGGCTACAGCCCGATGTAAAAACTCAACCTATTACATCGGTTCGTTTGTAGAACTGATATAAAAATAATAATAAAAATTAATAAAATAAAGACAAGCTTTTACATCAGTTTTCTTAATATACCCGATGTAAAAAACTCTTTTTTACACCGGTTTTTTAATATAACCGATGTAAAATACTCGATTAATATGTCATATTTAATTAAATCAGGTGCATTCTCGGAATTTATTTATTTGTACCTAATTTTTCATATTTTTTCAACATCACAATCACATTTAACTAAATTAGGTGCATTCTCATAATTTATTCATTTGCACCTAATTTTTCATATTTTTTCAATATCACAACCAAATTTAACTAAATCAGGTACATTCTTAGAATTTATTCATTTGCACCTAATTTTTCATATTTTTCCAACATCACAACCACATTTAGATCACCAAATATTTTTCATTGCACCAAATATCTAGGATGCACATATAAAAGTATTAATCTAGGATAGAGAAGTGTACAAAATTATAAGAAAGTTTATAAAAGGTGGATTACTACAACAACAAAACCAATAAAATTATACAAAAATATCCACACTTGAAATACCAACATGCAATCAACAAGAATATGAGTTGTAGCTTCAGTAGACAACACCAAAATCACATCTGCTAACAATAAATAATAACACCAATTAACATCAGCAGACAACACCAAAATCAAAAAACTCAAATCAAATATGTATAGACAATTCTAAATAACTCACCAGTTCAAGCTCAATTTTTAAATAATTCAAAGAAATATTTTGCCCAACAGAGTCACAAATCATACAAATCATCTTGTGTTAATTCTGTTGGGTCATCAAATACCTACGATGCATAAATAACAATATAGACTTATTTTTAAAAAATTCACATTAAGTTGCAAAACGCAAAGTAACTATAAAAGTAAAGCTTTTTTATTACCTGCATCCAAGAATCAGTTATATTGGCAGGGGCAAATCCAATATATTTTTTATCACATAGTATCTACAATCATTAGAGTTATGTTGTCTTCTTGTCTAGACAAACGAATGACATAATTAGTGAATACTTGACATAAAATTAAATATAGATTTGTAATATACTACACACTTACATTAGGATGAAGCCATGTAGCTTTTTTTCTATTTCCATTTTCCATTTGCCATTTGATGAACCCCAAAAGCACTAATTCAGAAGAAAAAATCCATATAAAGCCACATTAAATAGGAAATTACTTTTGTAACAATTTATGTATACGTGATATATAATATATTATAACAAAAGTCACAAAGGACAAACTTACCTTGTAATAATTTTCTTCGTGATTTGATCAATTTTCCAATGAAACGAACAAAAGACGACAACAAACTTGTCTCTTGGACAAATGGCTATTAATTGTCAATGAGATCTGTACGTGTGTGGAAACACAAAAGTTACATAAAATATCTATGCTATCAAAATTAAAAAATAGAAAACTTAATTTCAAAAAAACTTACTTATGAACTAATGGTAGTAAGTGACACACTTTGTTTTCGTCACGTAACTTGTCTAGTATGTATTTTTTAAAATTTGCTTCAGATTTCAGCACATTATCAACATATATACACCTAGCAGGGTTCATAAATCCATATACTTTTGATGTGGAATTATCAATACACATACGATGAATATACCTGAATAATTTTAATATTGACATTAGAATCAAAGTGATGAGAGATATAACACATTAATAGATATTGACAACAATAAAAAAAGAAAATGTACTTACGTGCACCAAACTTGCAGAACAGACACATCAAGCCAATGAAAGTCCACCAACAATTCTCTGATACACTTAGCTGACATATAGAAATTAGTGACACTCGCACAATTACTTAATTCCATTGCAAATGCGTGTCAGCCATTTTCAGAACCATGAGTAACAATCTCTGAACATCGTCAACTTCGAAGTCCTTTGTGCTTTCTTTTGCAACTGAACAACTTCCTTTTCCTCTTCCATCAACAACTTCTATTTTTTCAATGCATTTAGTATTATCTCCGCTTTGCGATAAACCAATAGACCTAAGTATCTCCATTAAAGATTGTTGCATTACCTTACGCTCTTCACACAACTTTTGCTCAAAATCAGCTCTAATTCTTGCTTCCAATTCAGATGAAATTTGTGCAAATTGTTTATTTACATCTACATGTTGTCCTTGACGTGAATACGACCCTCCAAAGTAAGTGCTTTGTTTATGGTGTTTTCCAACACCACGAACACGGCCGCCATGCTCAGATGTTCCAATGGCTGTTGTTAAGATATCGTTACGTCCTTCCGTAATAAAGGTTCCTTTTTCAGCCTCTTCAACTAGAGAATCCTACATAAGGAAATAACTACAACTAATTTCATTAATTTTTATCAATCACAAATAGAATGATACATGAAGTATTTTCGAAATTCTACTTACAATTTTCTCAACAACAGCTTGTGTATACTTTGATGTGTATTCTCCCCCTTTCTTTTGCCGTGCTCTCTTCCATAACTCATGGCGTGAC